GTGGTGGTGAGCGGCTGAATGAACCATATTACTGAGCCTTAACTGGAGGAGGAACAGGAAAGGAGAGAGGTGCTGAATCATATTACTGAGCCTTAACTGGAGGTGGAGCAGGAAAGGAGAGAGATGCTGAGCCATATTACTGAGCCTTAACTGGAGGAGGTGCGGGAAAGGAGAGAGGTGCTGAGCCATATTACTGAGTCTTAACTGGGGAGGAGCGGGAAAGGAGAGAGGTGCTGAGCCATATTACTGAGTCTTAACTGGGGGAGGAGCAGGAAAGGAGAGAGGTGCTGAGCCATATTACTGAGCCTTAACTGGAGGGGAAGCAGGAAAGGAGGGAGGTGCTGAGCCATATTACTGAGCCTTAACTGGAGGAGGAACAGGAAAGGAGAGAGGTGCTGAGCCATATTACTGAGCCTTAACTGGAGGGGAAGCAGGAAAGGAGAGAGGTGCTGAGCCATATTACTGAGTCTTAACTGGGGGAGGAGCAGGAAAGGAGAGAGGTGCTGAGCCATATTACTGAGCCTTAACTGGGGGAGGAGCAGGAAAGGAGAGAGGTGCTGAGCCATATTACTGAGCCTTAACTGGAGGTGGAGCAGAAAAGGAGAGAGGTGCTGGCTGTTTTCCAATTTGCTAATCTGGAAATCTATAACTTGCTTAGAAATAAGAGGTCATGTACATCTGGTGAGCCTTTTTGGTTTACAAGCACTGCACATGGAGGTCAAATATGTTGAAATTGAACTTGAGTTTCATATTGGCTAAAGGACTTTCTTGAATTATTATATGCTTTATGGAATTTTCAAATTTTATGCGTGTTAACACATATATACTGTTTAGGGTGTGGGTAATGATTGCACTTTTTTTACTAATATGATACATTTATGATTGGGATTCATATTGTAATATTGTATTGTAGATTTATTATCTCATTGATTTTTGGGGGTTATTTACTAAAGCTGGAGAGTGCACAGTTTGGTGCAGCTCTGCATAGAAACCAACCCGCTTCCAGGTGTTATTGCCAAAGCTTAATTGAACAAGCTGAAGTTAGAAGCTGATTGGCTACCATGCACAGCTGCACCAGATTCTGAGTGCTCCAGTTTTAGTAAATCTACCCCTTTGAGTATTTTAAACTCATGTGAGGATATAGGGCTGGCATGCAGTATGTATTTATACAATCCAAAGGGATAAGAATTTTTCCTGCTGGATGGGATTTTGTATAAAGTTTTTGTTTTATTGCAGAAAAGACATAGCATATCTCTTCTGCAATCAAGAGCCTGTCTGCTCACAATTTTTAATTTGTTAACTTTTACATCAGTGAATTTCCCTGTGTAGAAATAAGCAATAAATAAGTTATCGCAATGCATAAAATCTGTCACATGAGACTGTTGTATCATTATTTTGTGCTAAACAAGTTTAACATGCTAGATATTTAGAGCACAAATATAAGTTTGCTTTAATGATGTCTTGGACCAGTCATATAGAGCATGGGTGCATATGACTGGTGACTATGAGACTTGTCAGCCATGAAGGGCAAAACTACAGTACATATAGGATACCACAATTATGTGTTGGGGGTCTAATTATTGTTAGATATAATCTTTTTTATTTTTGCAAAGTTGGTAGAACACATAAGCATAAGTAGATAAGGTGGTGTAGTGCTAATACCATGTGATAATAGACATAAAAAATATAAATAAAGGACTCAATATTAAATGGGTGAATACATAAATTATATGAATATAATGGTGGTGCACCTAATGTGTAGCCCAAAAACATAAAAATCAAGAATGTGACTAAATATAAGTGATAGGTGATATACGTGAAACAAATATTAACCAAATATAAATACATGTGATCATAAATAAACAATATTCATAAATCACATAGCACAAAGTCCCAAACGTATAACTGTGATGAATCAATCTTCGACCGTGAAAATAATTACGTGCTCAAGTGCATCAGACCATCTGTCACCATCTAGCATGCATTTTTACCTCCATTCTTTGACCCTCAAGGAGTCATAAGGCATAACAAATCACCAGTTAGTCCCAGGTGGGATAAATCTCACTTTCTGGATGGACACAGGATCAGCTTCTACACAGCCCACGGTTAATCAACCATTATAATGGTAAGGCATCTTTACAAAACTCTTCCACTCTCCCAATGGCTCATAAACAGGGAATCAGAGAACAAAGCCACCATAGTGTAATACAGTAAAGTTTATTATACCATACACAAATGCCAAAGACCTACTCACACAATAAAATCGGGTCATAGACCCATTAGGCATGAACTGAACCAGGCGTCACCACGCTCTAGTCTGCTTCTTGTTAACACATAGTGGCTCCTTGTGCTGCTTCTTCCTTTCACACTCTAGCAAGAGGCTGATACCAAGTCTAATTCTGCCTTTAATGAACTATTAATAAGTACAGAACTGCAATAATGTCTTTTATAACTGCCTGGAATTCAGCTTTAAAACCTAAGTTAAGATAAAAAAAAATTTTTAAATCGGCACAAGGGAAATTACTTACATTTAATGTAATATGTCCCTTGTACTGGTGCCTGCCTTTATAGTGGAAATCTGAAGTCCTCTGCCCCTCTCCCATACCCCGCAGTCATAATCCTCCTGTGCTATAGTTAATACCAGTGCTGGACCTGTGACTAGCATTCATCTGGAGTGCCGATTAAGCCCACCTTTTCCACGCCCTTCCTCCATTCATAGAAGCCATACTATAACTTCCATGAGGGAAAAGCAATCTTATGAATGGAGGACAGGCAGATGAAATAAAAGTCTGTATCATCCATTCATTGATCACTTTTCATTAGTGGAAGTTGTCATACAGCTTCTATGAATGGTGGTGGGTGGGAATAGTCAGCACCCTTAAAGTGTGCCCGTCATAGGTCCTTGCTGGTATTAAGTGCAGCACCAGAGAATTACAACTTCAGAGTATAGGGTGGGGGGAAGAGGACTTCAGATTTTCACTATAACAACAGGCACTAGCATAATGGTTGTTCCACTCCTACATCAGCTGTACACACAGTTGAGCCCCAGTCCAGGGATACAGAGCACCACAACAACCTACAGTGGTACACTCTTCTTGCTATTCTGGAGAAATCTTGTATTGTATGGAGTTTGGCGATCGGTCTTTGGATGTTTCTCGACTAAATGAGACAGATAAAGCCATATGGAACCAAAGTGTTCACTTATACATCAAGCAATTATGGCCACTCTATAATTTGAGTGTCTTACTATCTGGTAAGTTGCTTGGCTCTATCACTGTGGTGCAGTATTTGAACATCTCCATGCTTTGGCTGGTGTTGGGACTTGTTCTTTATCTTGGATGAAGATGTTCATACTATATGGACTTTTTTTTAGTTATTGTGCACTGCATATGTATATATAATATGTTTTATTTGTGATCAATCAAATTTTTTTGCTGGCTGCTTTTAGAACTCAGTTTATACTCTTATTCCAGTGTAATGCACTCTTCATGTAAGTAATGTCACGTGTGCTGATTTTTAAAAACCATTTTGTAAATTTACTTAGGCTTTCAATGCTATTATAAAACTATGTTAAAATTATACTGTTGCTTCAACAAAATTCCAAATATAGTTGCTATCTGTAAAGAAGAAAGCAAATCGCTTTTCTCAAAGCTTGTGCTGCCTAATTCCACTACATTGCAGATAAATTGCCTCTTAAGTCTATGCAGGAAAACAGCACTTCCGGGAGTGTTGATCTCCTGTGAACCCCCTTCAGTGGTTCCTCCTGCCAACTCTTATGTTACTATAGTACACAGTAGCAGTGTATAGTTAGGTTGGAGGAACTACTAAACACTGTGAGAGACACGACACTCAACTGCCAACATCGCAATATTTATTAAGGCTGGCCAACTGCGCCAAAGTGATCACTCTCTGGCCAGTCTACTGTACCAGCAAAATGCCAGATACTAGTGTGGACATGCAAAACAATGTATAGTGCCAATAAGGGAGTATGTTCACACTGTTGGAGTGCTACATAAGAATCTGAGTTTTGGTGGGAAGCTTTATTAGTTTTGTTGCGTAGTGCAGGTCTTTGACCAGATTTGGTTCTGTAGCTTGTGTTAAAGAACTTTCACTTCACTTTTGGTTTCAGTGTTCTATTCCCCAAGAGAAAAAGTACATGTAGTGCTTTGTCCCATGTTCCTATGTGAATTGTAAATGTAGCCTAGCTAAGAAGTGTCTTCTCCTCCTTCCATAGCTGGCCAATAATGTAGCTAGCAAGGAGACTGCTGCTTGCTAACGGGTACTTGTTTTAGTTCCAAGCACTTGCCGAAGACATATGGTGGCTTGTCAGCCTTCCATTTCTCTGCATTCATTTTGCTGCCACTTGTCTCAGACAAGTGCTTGGAGCTGAGAACAGCTCTGGTTACCAAGCAGCCATCTCCTTGTTAGCCACTTTGTCAGGCAGCTGAGGGAGGAAAGGTGGCGCCCTGTTAAACTTCGTAGCTAGACTCTGAAGAGGAGGGTTTTCCTCAAAACACATCAACCATGTTCTGGGAACCTGGATGATACCCACCTGGCGTTGCAAGGTCCATCAAGTCTATACCAGCCCTGTGTCATCACTTGATATGCAAGTTTTTATTCATTGAGAGTATAAATTTTATCAGCATTTAATAAAATTTACTTAGGATAATGCACTAGGCCAGTGCGCTCTCCTATTTGTGTTTTTACTAGGCTTCAACGCACCTAGGAACATGGGAAAAGGTCCTACATTTACTTTGTCTCCTGAAGAGACACAATTGAAGTGAGATGTCCATTCTTGCCTTACATAGCTTGAGTTCTTTCTGTACAAGATGCATGTTTATATTTTCTGACACTAATGGTATCTTTATATCTTGTGTTAAGGCACAGTAGTCAAATATCTTGGGATGATTTTTTTGTGTGCTCAGACATAGCATGTTGTTGTTACAGGTGATGGTTTCTTGTGAGATTAGAGCTGGTCTCTAGTGGGACGTGGAGGGAGAATGAACACTGAAGAAGTGGAGTTACTAACTGACTCCAAATACAGGAATTATGTGGCTGCTGTGGACAAGGCATTGAAGAATTTTGAGTACTCCAGTGAATGGGCTGACTTGATATCTGCGCTCGGGAAACTGAACAAGGTAAGAGATATTGCCAATTATAATAATAATACAGTATGACATGGTGTTTAAAAGAGATGAACTGCTGGAGAGCAGTTGGTGCTAGCTTTGTGAATTTCTTCTGTCAGTAACACCCTTTTCAATGTTATAGTTGCATAGTATTGATGCATGACTATATTTTGTATATTCTGTTTTTCAATTTGTTATAGTCAATATATATCATTACTTGTATTGTTAAAGCTGACCACCAACTTTACCTGTACTTCAGTTGTATAGGCTCCTCCTGCACTAAAATTGCTTGCTCTGATTTACTGCACTTGGAGCTTCTCACACTGTGCATTAAAAGCTGTACTTCACTTAGAGCTCACAGTATTTCCTGGCTAGAGAATGCCCAGCATCATTTAGCTCTTTCCTCCCTAGACTTACAGTTCCTGGCCCTCTACTTTCATTCATTGGATTTCAGATCTTTCAATCATGGAAGCTTGGCATCACATGTGAGCATTTTCCTAGGGCAGTCTCCATGCAAAATCAGTCTGCCTAGGAACATCCACTCCTCCAGACTCGCGTCTACTCATCAAGGCATTTTGATATTTGCAAAACTCTTCCAAAGAGCCAGACCACTGCTTGAATCAGGACTTGAAGGATGCTGAGAAGAGTACTGAGGCAGAGTAATGTGATGCTTTTAGAAAGCTGTGTACAGCACCCTGCTGACCCCTCCCACAGTCATGATCTGCCTGCATTGCATAGAAAAGCACAGATACCTAGTGATGACGTCACTAGGGTCTAATATAATGTGTGGAAATGCTTATTATAGAAAATTAACACGTTGCTTAGAGGGAAGGCAAAGAGCAATGGAAGGCAAAATAGAAGCGGATTAAACTTCAGCTTTAGTACCCATCTACACAGACTGTAACAAAGAGTAAATGAAAGTAAAATTCCAGCTTAAAACTAAGTAGTCTTAAAAATGGTCCCCCCCCCCCCCCCTGCTGCCTAGCCTGTTTTAAAAAAAAATTATATATAAGCTTACCTATTTTTGCTCTCTTTGGTCCGGTCACGTGATCTTCAGCTCTGGCTCCCCTGTGTCAGTCAGTGGTGGTTGCAGGGAAGAGGAGAGAGCGCTGACAATGGCTGGGACATGGGAGCCTATTAGTGCTGTTCCAGCATTATCCAGCTGTGATTGGCCATCTGCTGCTATATGTCCCACACAGTATCTTCCTTTGTGACATCCTTGAGAGCTGATTGGCTTTTCCTGGTGCAGGCAGTCAGGCCCCTGATGATGTGCCTTCAGGTCTGCCAAAAGTGCGCCCTCCTCTGGTCACTGTATTGAAGCTGATTCCTCCTGGGATATGTGACATGTGAATCTCAGGATGCTTCAGGTTTTGGAGGAGCTTAGATGAGAATGGAGATGGTGGGGCGAATCAGAACATTAAAAAAAAAAAAAAAACCACTGTAGCAGTGTAGAGGTTGGTTGAAGGAACTATTAAACACTGGAAGAGACACGACACTCAACTGCCAACATTACAATATTCATTAAAGCTGGCCAACTGCGCCAAAGTGATCCCTCTCTGGCCAGTCTACTGTACCAGCAAAATGCCAAATACTAGTGTGGACATGCAAAACAATATATAGTGCCAATAACAGAGTATGTTGACACGGTTGGAGAGCTACATAAGAATCTGAGTTTTGGTGGGGCGCTTTATCAGTTTTGTTGCGTAATGCAGGTCATTGACCAGATTTGGTTCTGTAGCTCACGTTAAAGAACTTCACTTCACTTTTGGTTTTAGTGTTCTATCTCGGGATGCTTCAGGTTTGGAGGAGCTTAGATGAGAATGGAGATGGTGGGGCGAACCAGAACTTTTAAAAAAAAATTGCCATATTGAATTGCAGAGGTGGGGGGTTCTTTTAGGATAAAGTGTATAATTGGAGTGAAGGTCCACTTTAAACAAGTCTTTTTTTAGAGATGGTTTTTACTTGAAATGTTGCACAACTGTATATGCCATTGCATGCTGTCAGGGGACTGATGTGTTTTGTCCCACTTCAATAATGGTATTTAAATAAGACAGGTTTTAATATATTTCATATATACATGTAGGAATTTTATAGATCTGTTTACTTGGCTTTTGGCTTTTTATTATGTCTAGCACCCGTTCAGACTCCCACAGGTTTAATTTTCCACAGCCTGCCTTTTATTTGGAACAATGCAAAGTCATCAGTTCTATCGATCAGCTTCTTCCCATGGGCGAACCTGTTCTCTACATCATTAAAATAACTCCAGTCAGGTGTTCAGCTGAATATAGCATTGAATATTTTTTTTTTTTTAACGAAAAGATGCAAGATCAGGAGGTGAATGAGGCACTGTTACTTTGTAATAGGGGAGAGAAACGCTTAGCAGAAACCTTTTCAATGAAATAAACTGTTTATTTTCTGTAACTTTACTGTTGCATACTGTATGAATGTAGACAGGCCTTTAGATAACTGTGTAAATAACACACGGGTTGGACTTGTACTTAACTCATTATCCATTTCTCATTTACCACAATGCTTGGAGACATTGGGGGTTATTTATTAAAGGATATGGTGTACTAAAGCTGGGTACATACGGCCAGAAATCATACAAAAATGGTTGGTTTGGCAGGAACCAGCTGACTTTCAGCCCATGCGTACAGCTGTCTGTTCTACAGAAGCCTGCCTTACAACCAACATTTGTTGAACGGCCATGCTGGAAATCCAGCATCTGACCCGCATCCGATCAGCGTTGGCAGCCAATGTCTACCTGCACTGATCAGTGTGTTCAGGTGAGTCAGTACACAATAGCACAGCCAGGGAGATTGCCGCACTAGCATCTCTTGTGTTCAACCCACTGGGTTGAACGAAAAATAACTTATAGTGTATACTATAGATGACAGGTTCTGCAGCCCAATTGCTGCATGTAAAAACCATGGACCTGTTATTTGCCTTATCTATAAAACACACAAAATAGGCTGTGATGAGTGCGTGTATGTACATGTTTATTTGGGACTGTCTATATAGTATGGAGTATAGTAGTGGAGTTATATTTATGTGTGTACTGTATGCATGTGTTTACACAGAGAACAGCCATGATATTTTAACCACCCCATTGAGTAGGTTCCCTCTTTTGCCACCAAAACAGCCCTGACCCATCAAGGCATGGACTATAAAATAACATCCACATGAATAGCAGGACCCAAGTTTTCCCAGCAGAACATTGCCCAAAGCATCACACTTCCTCCACCAGCTGCCTTCTTCCCATACTGTATCCTGGTGCCATCTCTTTATTGCTTGGACCACTTTTGGTAGGTCCCGGCGACTGCAGACCGGGAACTTTCCACAAGAACTGCAGTATTAGAGATGCTCTGATCCAGTCATCTAGCCATTGCAATTTGGCCCTTGTCAACATTGCTCAGATCCTTAGGTTTGCCCATTGTTTTCTGCTTTCAACACATCAGCTTCAGGCACAACAAGTTCACTTTTTCTCTTGCTGACTAATATACAGTTGTGTTCAAAATAATAGCAGTCAGACATCACTAACCTGATCAGTCACTGTTTTTGGTAGAAATTATATTTCTACATGGAAAATAATTTACTAGCAGGTGTAGTAGAGTAATAGAAATCCAACAGACCCAACAGTCATGACATGCATGCTGCTGATTCTGTGTAATTGAATCACTAATTGAAAGGGGCATGTTCAAAATAATAGCAGTGTGGAGTTCTATTAGTGAGGTCATTCATTCTTTGAAAAACAGGTGGCATTATTGCCCTTATTTAAGGAAGGAAGGCAGCAAATGTTGTACATGCTGGTTACAGTGCATTTCTCTCTGAAATTCTGAGGAAAATTGGTCGTTCCAGGACAGCGTACCTTGACTAAAAAGTTGATTGGAGAGGGGAAAACATATAAAGAAGTGCAGAAAATGATAGGCTGCTCAGCTAAAATGATCGCAAATGCTTTAAAATGGCAACCAAAACCTGAAAGACGTGGAAGAAAGCGGAAAAACTACCATTCAAATGGATAGAAGAATAGCCAAAATGGCAAGGACTCAGCCAACAATCAGCTCCAGGAAGATCAAAGAAGATCTAAAGTTACCTGTGAGTACTGTTACAATTAGAAGACACCTATGTGAAGCCAAGATATCTGCAAGAAGCCCCCGCAAAGTCCCACTGTTGAAAAAAGACATGTGCTGAAGAGGTTACAATTTGCCAAACAGCACATTGACTGGCCTAAAGAGAAATGGCGCAACATTTTGTGGACTGATGAAAGTAAGATTGTTCTTTTTGGGTCTAGTGGCCGGAGACAGTTTGTCAGACGACCCCCAAACACTGAATTCAAGCCACAGTACACTGTGAAGACAGTAAAGCATGGTTGCGCAATCATCATGATATGGGGATGTTTCTCATTCTATGGTGTTGGGCCTATTTATCGCATACCAGGGATCATGGATCAGTTTGAATACATCAGAATACTTGAAGAGGTCATGCTGCCTTATGCTGAAGAGGAAATGCCCTTGAAATGGGTGTTCCAACAAGACAACGACCCCAAACACACCAGTAAACGTGCAACATCTTGGTTCCAGACCAACAAGATTGACCTTATGGAGTGGCCAGCCCAATCTCCAGATCTTAATTTAATAGAAAACTTGTGCAGTGAAATCAAAAATGAAGTTTCTGAGGCAAAACCAAGAAATAGAGAAGAACTGTGGAATGTAGTCCAATCATCCTGGGCTGGAATACCTGTTCACAGGTGCCAGAAGTTAAGTTGGTTGACTCCATGCAACACAGATGTACAGCAGTTCTCAGAAACAGTGCTTATACAACTAAATATTATTAGTGATTCAAAGGAAAGCAAAATCTTCAAACATTTTTCAGTTTATATAGTGAATGTTTGAGTTTGTAAAGAATACAAACACTGCTATTTTTTTTGAACATTCTAATATTCACTTTTTTTCAATTTCTTTAGAGGAACAACACAAATTTTATATATTTTTTCTTGATGTTTTGATTTGGAATAGAATGTGTAGTGTTCCCAATGCATTTGTGTGTATGGAAATAAAAGCTATTAGAAGGATTTTGAGCTTTATTCACTTTTTTCAACACACTGCTATTATTTTGAACACAACTGTATCTCACCTACTTTCAGGTGTCATTGTAACAAAACAATCAAAGTTATTCACTTTATAGGGGGTGGACATTTTTTTAAAAACTACTTGCACAGGGACTTAATCGGTTCCCCAATCTACTTGTCCCTCATGACAATCTACTTGTCCTGATAAAAAAAAACAAAACATTTTAACCAAAACCGTATTTAAGTCGGACGTGATTTTAGGAATGTCTGGGGCTTTGTGACATATGTATCGCTATGTGACATGTGTATCGCAATAGATGGTTTCATGCGTTGGCACCCCACCTTATTCTTTTCCGTTTGTATGTGCATATATGTGGGGGTGGGGCCTCAATATTTTTTTGGAGGGGGATGGTATGTGCTTCGGTGTAACTTTCATTTTTTTACAATTAAAAAAAAAAATACATTTTTTTTTTTTTTACAATTTGTTTTTCATCAGATAGGGGACAAAGTCCCCTATGTGATGATTTTTGGTGACAAGTTCTCTTTCAGACATCCAAGTTCTAAAAGACCCTGGATGTCTCCCCTCTGCTCCACTGAATATAATGCGGTGCACATCTCACCACATTACATTCTTTCCCAGGGATTGCATTACAATCTCTCAACGGGGACCCGGAAGTGACGTCATAATGTCACTTCCGGGTCAGCAGGGTCTTCTACCTCCCCTCTAGCCGACGGCGAGCCGGGCCCGCAGGTGGGCAAGCGGTGCCCAGGAAACCTCGCAGGGGGGTTGCGTAGAGGCTGGCACTGTGTGAAAGCAGTCGCCAAATGCTTCCATCTGACAGGTGAGCCCGCTGCTTACCCGCAGCAGGGCTAAAGGTTGAAAAAGACTACCTGCCTGGCTCCTGGAACTACATGCTACCCCTGTACAAATCATTATTAACACCTCATCTGGAATATGCAGTTCAGTTTTGAGCACTAATTCACAAAAAGAACATTGGAGGAACTGAATTTTTTCTCTCGTGAGAAGAGGAGATTAAAGGGGAAATGATCAACATGTATAAATACATCAGTGGTTCATATAGTGCACTCGGTGTAGAGTTATTCACCCTGAGGTCATCACAGAGGGGGGCACTCTTTACGTCTGGAGGAAGATAGATTTAATCTGCAAAAACGGAAAGGTTTCTTCACAGTAAGAGCTGTGAAAATGTGGAATAGACTCCCTCAAGAGTTGATTCTGGCCAGCTCAGTGGATTGCTTTAAAAAAGGCCTGGATTCTTTCTTAGATACACAGAATATAACTGGTTACTATTTATAGGTAAAGTTGATCCAGGGAATATCCGATTGCCTCTCGGGGGATCAGGAAGGAATTTTTTTCACAGCAGAAGCAAATTGGATCATGCTTTTGCCTTCCTCTGGATCAACTGTGGGTATAGGATTATAACTTTTTTTTTTTTTTTTTTTTTTAATGGTTGAACTGGATGGACTTTTGTCGTCTTTTCAGCCAGACTAACTATGTATCTCTATACCCCGGGCGTCGGACAATAGGAATCCAACACCCCTGCGTGTGTATATATAATATAAATATATGCAGTATATATACATACACACACACACAGTGCTCAGCACAAATGAGTACACCCCTTTTGAAAAGTAAGATTTTAATCAATATCTCAATGAACACAAGAAAAATTTCCCAAATTTTGCCAAAACTGAATTTTATAGAACATTTGTTTAGCTCATTACATGAAAGTAAGGTTAATAATATACAGTTAGGTCCATATATATTTGGACACAGGCACAATATTTTTTCAGGTATTTACCAAAACATTTTCAAGCTATAGTTCTATAATGGATATGGGCTGAAAGTGAACACTCTCAGGTTTAATTTGAGGGTATGTACATCCAAATTGGAGGAAGGGTTTAGGAATTACAGCTCTTAAATGTAGTACTCTGCATGGTCTAGGGTTGCTAGTGGTGTACCCCAGGTTTCAGCGTTGGAACCTTACGTTTTTAATATATTTATAAACTATATAGGGTCTGAGATTAAAAATACAGTCTTTGCAGATGACACCATGCTTACAGGATTTCTCCAATTTACAAGCCAACCTCAATGCACTGTTTAATTGGGCAACTATGTGGCAAATGAGGTTTAATGTTGATAAATGTAAGGTTATGCACTTGGGGCCAAGATTATGCATGCATCATACATACTAGGGGGGGTTCAACTGGGGGAATTAATGGTGCAGAAGGATCTGGGAGTTCTGGTAGATCACAAGCTTAATAATGGCATGCAATGACAAGATGCGGTTTCTAAAGCGAGCAAAATCCTCTCTTGTATTAAAAAGAGGTATAGACTCCAGAGAGAGAGATATCATTTTACCCCTGTACAAATCATTAGTAATACCTTATCTGGAATATGCAGTTCAGTTTTGGGCACCATTTCACAAAAAGAACATTGGGGAACTGGAGAGAAAGTACAGAGAAGGGCAAACTAAACTGATAAGAGGCATGGAGGAGCTCAGCATGAGGAAAGATTAAAGGAACTGAATTTATTCTCTCTTGAGAAGAGAGATTAAGGGGGGATATGATCAACATATATACCGTATTTGCCGGCGTATAAGACGACTTTTTGACCCTTGAAAATCTTCTCAAAAGTCGGGGTCGTCTTATACGCCGGTACACATGTTTAGGGGGGGCTGGGGCATTAAGTACAGGGGTTTGCAGGGGCTGATGTCTCTTACCTGGATCCAGTCCCACGACGATCCGGTCCAGGAAGCGCGGCGTCTCCTTCAGTTCGGCCACTGGATGTTTCGTGCGGCTGCTCGGCCTCCTCACCGGTGATTTGGCCGCCAGAACTGTAGCTCAGGAAAGGCACACAGGCGGCCAATCACCGGCGAGGGGGGCGGAGCCGAGCGGCCCCGAAAATTGAGTGCCGGCCGGAGCAGCAGGTAAGTGTTCTGTGAAAATGTAGAGGTGCTGCTGCAACCACATATGCTGGCTGCAGCAGCACCATACGAGAACAGGGTCAGCAAGTCTCAGGGGGGAGGAATAGTGCCCCATCATTGGTGAGCATAGTCACTGATACCAATGATGGGGCACTATTCCTCCCACTGACACCAACGATGGGGCACTATTCCCCCCCCACTGACAACCAATGATGGGGCACTATTCCCCCCCCCACTGACACCAACGATGGGGCACTATTCCCACCCCCCAACTGACACCAATGATGGGGCACTATTCCACCCCTCACTGACACCAATGATGGGACACCATTCCTCCCACTGACACATCAATGATGGGGCACTATTCCTCCCACTGACACCAATGATGGGGCACTATTCCTGCCACTGATACCAATGATGGGGCAGATTCCTCCCACTGATACCAATGATGGGGCACTATTCCTGCCACTGATACCAATGATGGGGCACTATTCCTCCCACTGACACCAATGATGGGGCACTGTTCCTCCCACTGACACCAATGATGGAGCACTATTCCTCCACTGATACTAATGATGGGGCACTATTTCCTGCCACTAATGCCAATGATGGGGCACTATTCCTGCCACTAATACCAATGATGGGGCACTATTCCTCCCACTGACATCAATGATGGGGCACTATTTCTCCCACTGGTGTGCATTGGAAGAGGGTAGTCTTATACGGCGAGTATAGCCCAAACACTACATTTTAGCAGGAAAAGTAGGGGGGTCGTCTTATGCCCAGTCGTCTTATACATATACGGTAAATACATCAGTGGTTCATAGAGTGAACTTGGGGGTAGAGTTATTCACCTTGAGGTCATCACAGAGCACAAGGGGGCACTCTCTATGTCTGGAGGAGAAGAAATGTAATCTCCAAATATGATAAGGTTTCTTCACAGTAAGAGCTGTGAAAATGTGGAATAGACTCCCTCAAGAGTTGGTTCTGGCCAGCTCAGTGGATTTCTTTAAAAAAGGCCTGGATTCTTTCTTGGATTCACAGAATATAACTGGTTACTAACATGTTATAGGTAAAGTTGATCCAGGGAATATCCGATTGCCTCTCCAGGGGATCAGGAAGGAATTTTTTCCCCTGCAAGAGCAAATTGGATCATGCTTTGCTGGGGGGTTTTTTTTTTGCCTTCCTCTGGATCAACTGTAGGTATAAGATTATAACTTTTTTTTTTTTTTTTTTTATGGTTAAGCTGGATGAACTTTTGTCTTTTTTCAGCCAGACTAGCTACGTAACTACAGTGGGGTAAAAAAGTATTTAGTCAGCTACCAATTGTGCAAGTTCTCCCACTTAAAAAGATGATGAGGGGCCTGTAATTGGCATCATAGGTAGACCTCAACTATGAGAGACAAAATGAGAAAAAAAATCCAGACAATCACATTTCCATCAAACAATGGGGCATCCTTATGTTCCTAACACATTACACAGTCCATATAAGTATAGCTATCCAGCATGATATTTTTCCCTTTTGAGATCTGATGTGTTTTCAAAGTGTCCTTTTAATTTGTTTGAGCAGTGTATATACACACTATATTGGCAAAAGTATTGGGATGCCTGCCTTTACACGCACATGAACCTTAATGGCATCCCAGTCTTAATCTGTAGGGTTCAATATTGAGTTGGCCCTCCCTGCTGCTATAACAACTTCAACTCTTCTAGAAGTGCATTTGTGAGCTCAGGCACTGATGTCAGATGAGAAGACCTGGCTCATACTCTGTGCTCTAATTCATCCCAAAGGTGTTCTATCGGGTTGAGGTCAGGACTCTGTTCAGGCCAGTCAAGTTCCTCCACCCCAAACTCGCTTTTCATGGACCTTGCTTTGTGCACCAGTGCGCAGTCATGTTGGAACAAGAAGGACCATCCTCAAACTGTTACCACAAAGTTGGGAGCATGAAATTGTCCAAAATGTCTTGGTATGCTGATGCCTGAAGAATGCCCTTCACCAGAACTAAGGGGCCAAGCCCAACCCCTGAACAACAACCCCACACCATAATCCACCCTCCACCAAACTTTACGCTTGGCACAATGCACTCAGGCAACCCAGACACAACCATCAGATTGCCAGACAGAGAAGCGTGATTCGTTACTCCAGAGAACACTTCTCTACTGCTCCAGTGGCAACCTGCTTTACACCACTGCATCCGACACTTTACATTGCACTTGGTGATGTTAGGCTTAGATGCAGCTACTCGGCCATGGAAACCCATTCATGAAGCTCTCTACGCACTGTTGTTATGCTACTCTGAAGGCCACATGAAGTTTGGAAGTCTTCAGCTTTTGACTCTGCAGACAGTTGGCAACTTCTGCGCACTGTGTGCTTCAGCATGCGCTGACCCTGCTCTGTCATTTTACTTGGTCTACCACTTCATGGCTGAGTTGCGGTTTTTCCCCCTTACTTCCACTTTGTTATAATATCACAAACAGTTTACCATGGAATATTTAGTAGCAAGGAAATTTCACGGATGGTCTTATTGCACAGGTGGCAACCTATCACGTTACCACCCTTGAATTCACTGAGCTCCTGAGAGCAACCCATTCTTTCACAAATGTTTGTAGAAGCAGTCTGCATGCCTAGGTGCTTGATTTTTATATATCTGTGTCCATGGAGGTGACTGGAGCACCTGAATCCAATGATTTGGAGGGATGTCCCAATACATTTGGCAATATAGTGTTTATGTGTGTGTGTGTGTGTGTGTGTGTGTGTATGTATATGTATGTATGTATGTGTAATATATATATATATATATATATATATATATATATATGCTCTGCGGCGGACTGACAACTCATAGGGGATCATGGGGCCCCTGTGTCCTTGCCCAAACTCTAAAACGTCTATGAAAAAGGTACCAGGGGCATCTCATGGGGCCCCCTACTGACCCCGGGCAGTGCCCGAGTTTCCAAATGGTCAGTCCGCCCATATATACCGTATTTTCCGGCGTATAAGACGACTGGGCGTATAAGACGACCCCCTACTTTTCCTGTTAAAATATAGGGTTTGAGCTATACTCGCCGTATAAGACTACCCCCTCTTCCAACGCACACAAAATAAAAAAACATCAGATTTGATTTCAATATGGTATGCTATTTCAGTATGGTATTCCAATGATGGGACACTATTCCTCCCACTAACACCAATGATGAGGCACTACTCCTCCCACTGACACCAATGATGGGGCACTATTTCATTCACTGACACCAATGATGGGGCACTATTCCTCCCACTGATACCAATGATGGGACACTATTCCTCCCACTGACACCAATGATGGTGCCCCATCATTAGTGTCAGTGTGTGAGGAATAGTGTCCCATCATTAGTGTCAGTGTGTGAGGAATAGTGTCCCATCATTAGTGTCAGTGGGAGGAATAGTGCCCCATCATTAGTCAGTGGGAGGAATAGTGCCCCTTCATTGGTGTCAGTGGGAGGAATAGTGCCCCTTCATTGGTGTCAGTGGAGGAATAGTGCCCCTTCATTGGTGTCATGGGAAGTCGTGCCCCATCATTGGTGTCAGTGGGAGGAATAGTGTCCCATCATTAGTGTCAGTGGGAGGAATAGTGCTCCATCATTGGTGTCAGTGGGAGGAATAGCACCCCATCATTGGTGTCAGTGGGAGGAATAGTGTCCCATCATTGGTATCAGTGGGGAGAATAGTGCCCCATCATTGGTGTCAGTGGGGGAGGAACAGTGCCTCATCGTTGGTGTCAGTGTGGAGGAGGAATAGTACCCCATCATTGGTGTCAGTGGGGGAGGAACAGTGCCTCATCGTTGGTGTCAGTGTGGAGGAGGAATAGTGCCCCATCGTTGGTGTCAGTGGGGGAGGAACAGTGCCTCATCGTTGGTGTCAGTGTGGAGGAGGAATAGTGCCCCATCGTTCGTGTCAGTGGGGGAGAAGAGCAGCTGCTCCTTCTTTTAGTTCGGCCGCTCGATTTTCGCGGGGCCGCTCAACTCCGCCTCCTCACCGGTGATTGGTCTCCTGTGTGCCTTTCCAGTGCTGGTGCCCAATCACCGGTGAGGAGGCGGAGCCGAGCGACCATCGAGCGTCCGAACTGAAAGAAGGAGCAGCCGCGCTTCCTGGACCGGATCGTCGTGGGACCGGGACCGGAGCCAGGTAAGGTACAGCAGCTTCTCTGCCCACCCCTGTACTTAGTGTCCGTTGGAGGAGGAGGAGGGGGGGCGGCGCCGCCTCTCGAAAAAGTGCCGGCTCGCCGTATACCGGCGTATAAGACGACCCCCGACTTTTCAGAAGACTTTCATGGGTTGAAAAGTCGTCTTATACCCTGGAAAATACGGAAATATATATACGGTATATATATATATATATATATATGTGTATATATATATATATGTGTATATATATATATGTGTATATATATATATGTGTATATATATATATATATATATATGTATATATATATATATATATGTGTATATATATATATATGTGTATATATATATATATATATATATATATATATATATATATATAGTGGGGATCGAATGTTTGGGCACCCCAGCTAAAAATTTGTATTAATGTGCATAAAGAAGCCAAGGAAAGATGGAAAAATCTCCAAAAGGCATCAAATTACAGATTAGACATTCTTATAATATGTCAACAAAAATTAGATTTTATTTCCATCATTTACACTTTCAAAATAACAGAAAACAAAAAAATGGCGTCTGCAAAAGTTTGGGCACCCTGCAGAATTTATAGCATGCACTGCCCCCTTTGCAAAGCTGAGACCTGCCAGTGTCATGGATTGTTCTCAATCATCGTCTGTCAATGTCAATCTCAAAGGTTTTAAATGCCCAGACTCATCTGACCTTGCCCCAACAATCAGCACCATGGGTTCTTCTAAGCAGTTGTCTAGAAAACTGAAACTGAAAATAGTTGACGCTCACAAAGCTGGAGAAGGCTATAAGAAGATAGCAAAGCGTTTTCAGATGTCAATATCCTCTGTTCGGAATGTAATTAAGAAACGGCAGTCATCAGGAACAGTGGAAGTTAAAGCAAGATCTGGAAGACCAAGAAAAATATCAGACAGAACAGCTCGCAGGATTGTGAGAAAAACAATTCAAAACCCACATTTGACTGCACGATCCCTCCAGAAAGATCTGGCAGACACTGGAGTTGTGGTACACTATTCCACTATAAAGAGATACTTGTACAAATATGATCTTCATGGAAGAGTCATCAGAAGAAAACCTCTTCTACGTCCTCACCACAAAAATCATTGTTTGAACTTTGCAAATGAACATATAGACAAGCCTGATGCATTTTGGAAACAAGTTCTGTGGACCAATGAGGTTAAAATTGAACTTTTTGGCCGGAATGAGCAAAGGTACGTTTGGAGAAGGGGCACAGAATTTAATGAAAAGAACCTCTGTCCAACTGTTAAGCATGGGGTTGGATCAATCATGCTTTGGGGTTGTGTTGCAGCCAGTGGCAACATCTCACGAGTAGAAGGAAAAATGGATCCAATAAAATTTCAGCAAATTTTGGATGGTAACTTGATGCCATCTGTGAAAAAGCTGAAGTTAAAGAGAGGATGGCTTCTACAAATGGATAATGATCCTCGAAATCCACTGACACACCTCGAAATCCACAGGGGATTACATCAAGAGGTGTAAACTGAAGGTTTTGCCATGGCCTTCACAATCTCCTGACCTCAACATAATTGAAAATCTATGGATAGACCTTAAAAGAGCAGTGCGTGACAGACAGCCCAGAAATCTCAAAGAACTGGAAGACTTTTGTAAGGAAGAATGGGCAAAGATACCCCAAACAAGAATTGAAAGACTCTTGGCTGGCTACAAAAAGCATTTACAAGCTGTGATACTTGCCAAAGGGGGCAGTACAAGATATTAACTCTGCAGGGTGCCCAAACTTTTGCAGACGCCATTTTTTTGTTTTCTGTTATTTTGAAAGTGTAAATGATGCAAATAAAATCTAACTTTTGTTGACATATTATAAGAATGTCTAATCTGTAATTTGATGCCTTTTGGAGATTTTTCCATCTTTCCTTGGCTTCTTTATGCACATTAATACAAATTTTTTAGCTGGGGTGCCCAAACTTTCGATCCCCACTGTATATATATACCGTATATATATATATAGGCATTGACAAATGAAAACAGAATTGACAATCTAGGCAATTACAAGAGAACTTCAGTTAGTTATCAGTCGTGACCTTCTAAAAAATGTTGTTTTTTTATAGGTTTTACAGAACAATGCGAAATATCAAGTGGTCCCTAGAAAGTTAACCATAGGGAAACGGCTGGCACAATGTCTTCATCCAGCGTTGCCAGGTGGAGTTCACAGGAAAGCGCTGGAAACTTACGAAATCATTTTCAAAATTATTGGACCAAAGCGCCTCGCCAAAGATCTCTTCCTATACAGGTAAGTAAAAGAGCTAAAACTGTAACCTTTAGATTACTGTTATAAAACAAGTATATGGTCTAAGTACCTTTTTGGAGTATGTTAATATTTCTGCTTCTAGACATTGTCCTTAATTATCTCTCCTTTTGATGTTTTTTTTTTTTTTTTTTTAGCGCTGGTCTTTTCCCTCTGCTTACCAAATGCTGCAATGTCTGTGAAACCAGTATTACTTAGTTTGTATGAGATGTACTATCTACCTCTGGGCAAGACCTTAAAGCCAGGCCTACAAGGACTGCTCACTGGTATTCTGCCTGGCTTGGAAGAGGGCTCTGAATATTATGACAGGTAAGCAAAACCACCATTTGATTACAGAAAGAGCCCACAAGCTTTTTTTATTTTCTTATAATGGGTTTAACATTATAGGTAAAAATTCTGGGTTAGCTGTATTCGGATCCAGACAATTTTGGATCTATTTTGAGCATTACTGACTTTTTAAACATAATGGTGAAATCATGACTTTTATATATGTGGATCACCAGACCCTACTGGAACAGCTGCCGTATTGTCAAATGTAAACCTTGGCTTATGTCAGTTAGTAAAGTTGAGGAACTGTAGCGTAGTAATAAACATGCTCCAAACAATTGAAATACAAAAATACAAGATAGGCGTAGATAAAGGAAAAGATTACTCTGCATACAAAGAGTAGGGTATGTATTTTGTCTATATATCTATGTGTACAGTATATGTAATTTTTAGTTTTTGGGATAATGTACATGCTCTTTTTCAGAACCAACACCCTCTTGGAGAAAGTGGCCTCAGCTGTGGAGCAGTCGGCTTTTTACGGTGCCCTGTGGGGCAGTCTCCTCACCAGCCCTGCTGTGCGCCTTCCTGGCATCACCTATGTCTTATCACACCTGAATCGGAAACTATCAATGGAAGATCAGCTGTACATCATAGGAAGTGACATTGAATTAATGGTACTGTTGTATTAAGCAATTCTGTTGCTTTTCTTTTTTTTAAAGGGAGTGATGGCATCAGTCTTCTGGTCATGTGACAGTACTTGGGCCCAGCAATTGGCTTTTAGACCCAAGCACGGTTACATGCTTCTCAATACCCAGAAGTGTTGGGTGTTCTGGATGGTTGCGGAGACGGAGAGAGTGGCAGGGGAGGGCTGGTAGGGGGTAATGGGGTCAGGTTGAGAGAAGAAGGACTATTTGCAGAGATGTTGTCACTTCATGCTGCATGGCCAAGGTGACAGTGTCTCATGTGCCTCCCTTAGCACCCACATACTTTTGTGTTGTGTAGAAAAAATTACTATAATAGATGCAACAAAAAAACAATAGATATATTGAAGTACACCTGTTACAAAAATAATTATTTTGTCTGTCATTGCTGACCTCTCCTTTTATGAAAGATAGTTCCCTAGCTGTCATGCTAATCTCATTGATCCAGTTCCTTTTGTGTTACTGACACCTTTACAACATGTTTATTCTGGGTTTGTGATTCAAATGTATTGATACTAGATAAAACCAGGAAACTCACAATAAAGCCAGCAATGTCATCTAACAATGGGTTATTTTATCACTACCTCAAAGTCTCATTTTCTTGCATTCCTAAATGGTGTTCTGATTAAAGCTCACAGTTATCACCTGCCTAAAGCTAGTAGTAAGGAGCCATAAACTGTGCCATAATCTTTGTGAATTTAAGCTAAAAGTCTGAATACCTTGAAATTTGGAAAAAATACAAATAATGCACAGTAATTAAAATACACTTGTTATGCTTGTGAGAGTTGAGCTTGTCGGTATCACTTTTTTTATAACATATTGTCATCTCCTATTTATTGGATGCCTGGTAGACGGTGGAAGTCTCTGCTTAAAGATTAATTTACTAAAGGCAAATAGATTGTGCAAATAGACTTTGCAAATGCATTTGCACTTTTTGTCCCCAGAGCTTAGTTAATGTGGCGAATCTTCACTTTGTAAACAATACCTAATGCTTGCACATGATTGGATGAAAATCCGCAAAGCTTCAACACATTTACATAGCTCTAGAGAAAATGAGCGCAACTGCACTTGCAAAATACACAGTCTATTTTCCTTCAATAAATCAACCCCAATGGGTTTTGTGATTCCTAGTTGCCTGCTTTCGACATCGTCACATGACTTTTATGCATATACAGGATATAAGGGTTACCTGTTGGAGGATTTTATGGTTGTCTTTGTTTTCAACGTTGAAAGGATTATGTTTTCTTTATTTTGCTAATGTGATTTATTCCCATTTGACATTTGAAGGTTCTGCACTGAGAACAATACATGTCATATGTTAGTTCAAGAGATAGGTCCATGAGGTGGCATGCACCTCGTGGGCCTTAAAGCCGGCCATAGTTCGAATCTCAGCTGCTTCAGCAGGGACTGGCCAAGATTTAAACCATGTACGGACAGGCTGAATGTACCCAAGTTGATTGATTGATCAACAAGCCTGTCAGATTTTACATGCGATTATTGCTAGCGGCTATTATAGCAGTAATCACTGTGTTCTCCCAGCGAGGACGACTCCCCTCGCTCCCCTCTTCCGGGACAACACAATGGCTCAGTGGGAGGGATGCCCCCATTGACATTGTGTTAATGTTGGAATTGATTGATTTTCTTTCCTGCAACAGTCTCCGTCTATCAGAGGAGTTTAGTTATAGGGTGAAACTCTACTCAAAAAGTGACTAATTGTTGTTATAGAGAAAATTCTGAAAGGTTTTTTGCATAAGCAGTTCCCTGACAAAATGTACTATTTTTTCTGGAATTCCTTGCAAAAAAACAGCAGTGTCCTTGCTGGTAAGCAAGGGGGTGCCTCAGCAGAAAGACTCATGGCTATATGACTGCTGTGTGAGATTTAAGGCACTGCTGCCTCTGACTGCTAGTGCCAGGAGATTTGGAGTGATATTTCTTGATCTCACTACTGTGCTGCTCACTGTTTTCCTTGTTGGAATTTCTGAAATGAGAAGCAAAGCTCTGGCCTAACTATGGGCCCCTCCACACAAAGAGGGACAGAATGAGGCTTGTTAAGTCAGTAATGGGGAAAATTAGCTTCAGGAAGATCATGAACAATACTGGTGACTAGCTCTTTGCTCACTGCCCACCTTTATTTGAAAGAATACTTTTAACGTAACAGTAATGTTGCTTTGTATTTTAATCACACTTCTGAGCAGTGTTTTACAAACACTGTTAATATGCTCAGTTTTTGACTGCAACAGCTAAAATAGTAAGTGAATAGAAAGTGCAAGCCGAAGGAGAGGGACTGGGCATGCTACCTATGTTCTTTGTATTCTGATAACGTTTATTTGGTTGAGTATAGCATGCCTAATATCTGCAACGGCTTATATAGGAAAGGGTTAAAAAGTCTGAGTTTTTTATTGCAGTCAGTACTCCCATTGGGGAAGGTGTTCATTAAGTAAAGTGTTACTACACCCAGGACCCTGCATTCACTATATCTGGTTTCCCACAGTACACAGAATATGGAAATGCAATTATTTTAGGGAATATAAACTGCTAAATACCTTTTCTAATCAGCAGTTAGAGCAGTCTTGCGACTTCAGCAGAGCACTGGTTAAAGCTTGTAGGAGGAGTTTTATTTCTGCTGTAGGAGGATGCAAAACCCCTGACCTCTGTCTGGACAGTGCTGATTACATGCACTCTCCCAAGAAAAAAAAAAAACCTCTCTAAGAATACACACTAAACTGAACATGTGCATGTGGCTACGGGTTCAGGCTGCCTTATCAGGTGATAAAACATGGACATTTGAACAAGAGGAGTAGCAGAGAAAACAGGATCAAACGGCCTTTTTACACAATGCAGAGTATTAACCTCTTAGGTTCCACGGTGAGTATAACATGCATGCTTTACTGCATATACAGACAGAGTTTACTGGTGCGGGTTTAGTAACACTTTAATGTTTCAGTAACAGTGATCAGCAGACCAGGAAGGGAAAGGAAATCTCTTCAATGCAGACAGAGACCACAATAGCAGCCATGTTTAAACAGTATTGGGAAGGATTAGAAACTTTTAATAATTCTGAATGTGCCCCTCCTAGGGAGATAGCCCATTCCTGTCTCATTGAGGGGAGTCGGTAAAACCTGCCAAATGTTCTAAGCTTTTCCCTTTTCTTTTTTAATTAAAAAAAAGTCTTGGTTAAAGTGTCACTTTAACAATTGAAAGATTCAACAATGCATTGCAACTTGGAAACCCATAATCCAGTGTGATACAGTAATAAATACACCCAAGCAAGTCTACTGCATAATTATTCACATACCAGTTTTTTCCTGTGTATGGCCACATGAGAATCTATCAAACAAAGGTTCCAAATAACAAGCAAATATTTTAGTGCACAATCCTGTATATCTTTGGTTTGTTATATGTCTTCCATTATATTTTTTTTTTCATTTTGCCTTTGCAATTTCAGGTGGAAGCTGTGAGTACATCTGTGCAGGACTCCAGTGTGCTGGTTCAGAGGAGCACTTTAGATCTCATCTTATTTTGCTTCCCATTCCATATGAGTCAGGTACTGGTGGCAAAGTCAATTTTATATCCATTGCCAATGTTTGACTCTAGAGCACTCTTGTAAGACATATTTGGCAAAATGTAAGCAATCTTTTAAATTAGTTGATTTATGAACAGAGCAAAAGTGGAGCTGGTTCCATAGTGCTAGTCACGGTCCTTATTTTGTGTGGGAGCCAATATCTCATTAGTTGGACTGAAGCTCCAGTTTTGCACCAACTTTCCTAAATAATGCCTTTATATATTTATTTATTACAGGTACTTATATAGTACCATCAATTTACGTTGCACTTCACATATATATTGTGCATGCACATTATACCCTGCCCTCAAGAAATGTACAATCTAAGGTCCCTACCTCACATTCATACATACACATACTATGGCCAATTTAAACTGGAATCAAATAACCTACCAGCATGTCCTTGGCGTGTGGGTAGGATTTGGAGTTCCCGAAGGAAACCCATACAGGCACAGGGAGAACATGCAAACTCCAGGCAGACAGTGCTGTGGCTAGCAATCGAACCGCTGACCCCATTGCTGCCAGGTGGAAGTGCTAACCATATGGTATGGTGCATTCATATTGTAGTTTGGCATCCATATAAAAACCATATGCAGTTTATTTCTATTTTCTTTCAGGGTTTTACATATTAAAGCATAATTCAGGAGCCAGTGTGCTCACACCAGGAGCCATTTTAAGGGTTCATGAATCAAATATATCAGCTGACAGCATTATAACATTCCAGATGGTTAGGGACTAGCTTTGGCTAGATGCCTTCTTGAATTTTTTCGAGCCTATCAGATTTTCTTACTGGTCCATGTAGGTCCCATAAAGGAGGCGGGTGTATACCAAGCAAGATATCCCCTTGCATGATTACAAACTATAAATATTTTTATGGGGGATTCCAATGTATTCCTGACATTTTAGCATTAAAACTTTCAAACAGGCTGAGAATCTGCCAATTTGGTAGGCAAATAGGCTCTGTTTCCATCTTCATTTGTCCAATATGCCTGAAACAGCTGTAGTAGGAACCCACCAGGGGCCAAGCACATCATGGGGCCCTTCTTGAAGCGTTTCTTCTTTACATCTCTCTATAAAATGGAGCTTCTCATCCTATTTTTCAAACCTTACTGTACAATCCTATAGTGAGAACTAATTTCTGCTACAAACACTTAAAGCCTTTTTTTTTTTTTAATGCCATACACCTCTATGAGGACCATATGTGTCCTGGTAACACAAAGCTATTTTGGTGTATTTTGAGCTTCTCTCTCTGTTACACGTCTGGAAAGCGTTGCCACATTTATCCTATTTACTCCCAGTTAGCATTTCTCATAAATCTGTTGTGTTGGAAATCTCTCGGATCTTATGAAGGACCATATGTCACTAAGTAGACATGTTCTCCTGTAGAACAAAGTATACATGTTTCTATAAAGCCGTTGTTTTTTTGTGGCGATTGTGTAAAGCACTCCATCGGTATATTATCAATCTCTTCCCCTGTGGATAAATCTGATTAATATCCAAAAATATATTGGCTCTGTATAGTAGGAGGTTCACAGAGATGTAAAGCAAGTGCAAAGATTAGCATAAAGGTTAGATACAACTGGTCCTGTTTATGAACACTTTGAAAATAATTTGTCGGTGTTCCATAGAAACCAAAGTATATGTAAACTCAAAATCTCATAGAAGCTTAAACATGGTATTGTAGTTTAAAACGGTTGTTTTCCTTATTTTTAGGTCTGCAGATTTCATAATAGTTATAAAATTTTAAAAATATCTGGTGATCCAGCCATGAAGGTCCTTGTTCCAACACTACCTGCTCTAAGGTGGTAACACATGTCTCTATCCCCCAGTTGTTCTGCTTTGTCACTCCTAGACATGCTTTCCTAATGGAGACAAGTGGCTATGCCAACACACATTGCACACTCATGGTCCATTGTTATCCCTGTCAGGAAACCTATGCAGAGAAATATTACATCACTTACTGAAGTGAGTGCATGTAGACAGGAAATGGCTACAGAGAGCTGCATGAGATCAACAGCACTGAGACATATGCATGGATGAAAAGGGTAGAAACGGTGCTGGATAGATATGAGCTAGGTGACCTCCAAATTCCCATTTTTATTGGTACAAAAACAAGGGAGAGTTTGGGTTGGAGATGAATTCGGAGAACGCCCAATCTCTTCTGATAGATACCACTCCCCCCATCCAAATTTCCCTATTGTTCCCCCCTATCCATTAGGACGCATCACCCCCTGCCACGAACTAGCCCCCTTCCTATACTAACATTTTAGAACATATTGTAATATACCCAATTATAATTACTGATACTTTGTACCAGTAATTGGTACTTTGTAGACACTTTTATAACTGGGGATCAAAGAGGAGGGAAAACTGTGTTTCCCCTTTATGTTTTTGCATAATTGAGCTAAGTCATTGTCCTTTTTGTATAAATGTACATTATGTTGCTGAATATTTTGATATGGCATTGATTTATTCAAATTCTTAAAGTTTCAGATTTTTAAAGTTACTTGAAGGGTAAGTACACCCAAAGCTTTTTTGACTGTACTTCTCCAGTGGATCACAGGAGTGCAGTTAGTTCTGTACTCTGTGACAGTGTGGCGATCTGTCACCCTTGATTCTCAACAAGGCAGGTTGAGGGGCTCCAGGGTAAAGGTTTGATATGGAGGAAAGTGGCTTTTCACTTTCCTCCTTTGTTTGTAAGGTCCATTTTGGGAGCTGGAGATTTCGAAGCGATTTGGGAGGGATGAAATCTCCAATCCTGGGACCAGGTGTTGGAGTGGCCAAGAGGCTGATTGCACAGGTGTGTGCGGGCCTTTTCAGAGAGTCAGGATCAGGGTTCTGGGCTCCATCCCGGCAGATAGGAGTCAGGAGGGCTCCACCTGGAAGATAGGAGTCAGGAGGGCTCCGCCAAGGAGAGGTGGAAGCCAAAAGCAGCAAGGGGCTGCTAGAGACTAGCTGTGTGCAAGAGCCATAATTCTTGAAGAAGTCTGCAGGAGACAGACATCAAGCTGAGTATAAGCCAGGAGGCTGAATCATTGTTTTGTTTGATGGTGGATACCCCTGCGTGGGAAGCTTTATGTTGCGGGACATTTGTTTAAATAAAATTGGGCAAAAAGGCCCTTAAAGAAGTGAGTCGCTGTGTGCTTTAAATGAAAAGCTCTACCACTTTGAAGCGAGTTCCCACAACTCCTATGGCCTGTTTTCAGCCAACAGTGGGTTTAAGTCTGCTGCCGGCTGACATCACAGAGCCGGTCCAGGCTCTGAAAAGATCCCAACCCAATGGTCAGAATATGTCTGGAAGGTTGGACCGGCACATGGCTCAGCCTCTCAGCTAGCCGCTGAAAGCCTGAGCCAGCCCCTCCCACCGACTCCACAGCCCAGCACTGCATTGAGTGCTGGAGGGGCAGAGCAGAGAGCCAGTGACTGGCAGAGCAGAGCGATTGTGGTGTTCATAAAAAAGAAAATGGTGTTGCGCTTCCTTACACAGTGCTTAAATACACTTATATACCATAATTAGTGCATAAATATAAATCTCAAATAAATTCTAACAAAAAAAAATATACACATTAAAAAAGAACAATATCATGTGATAATATGCAAAAAATTATATAAATGTGTAAACGAGAAATAGACATCACACACTGGAGAAAATGGTGAGACAATGTACATGCATACCTTAAATGGAAAAAAGTGACATAAACAGTGAAAATGGCATAAAATATGCCTGAAACAGTGTCGTGACCAGAGACTCACAACCGGTGTGAATAATATACTGTGAGACTGTCTGGATATAAAAATCTGACTCAAAACAAAATTTTTGGACCACACAGTCTTCCACATAAATGTGTTACAAAATGTGATAAGTGACCAAAATAAACAATATATGACTTATGTGATCAAATCCCTAATTGGGACTTATTTATGTGAACACAAATACATAAACAGTGTCACAACAATATATCACAATGTGCTACAAAAAACATTAAAAAAAACCCTAATAACCACATAATGCCACAAATATTGTGCCACTAAATAATATAATAATAATGAGCAAGAAATGTCCCCATGTGAACTCTTCAAAGTGAAAACACTTCCACGGTGATACAGGTGAAAAAAATTGGGATCCGTCACTGGCTGGATTGCCCCCTCACCTTCATACAGCGACCCCAAAGGGCCGATAAGCGTCCACACTATAAGGTGCAGCAATACGGCCAATCAGCATAAATTAATCCAGTTTAGCAGTAGTGGTGGTATCCCCCTTATGGAACAATAGGTGTGACCAATCCTGATATCAAAATTTCTTTTAGGCAGGATGATAAAATCAGCCAACTCACATATATATTTGGGAAAGAAGAAGAGAAATCCTCCCATAGTGTAATACAAATTGCTCACTCACATTTCCATTGATAAAAACAAGCTTACAAAGCTTAGGGTAACCTGAGTGCTATCCTCTATCCCCATTTTTCTTTCTAAAATTATCATTATCGCCTGCTAATTTTACAAAGAAAAATGGGGATAAAGGATAGCACTCAGGTTACCCTAAGCTTGTTTTTATCAATGGAAATGTGACGGATGTGAGTGAGCAATTTGTATTACACTATTCTCTTCTTCTTATCAATATACTGTATATGTGAGTTGGCTGATTTTATCATCCTGCCTAAAAGAAGTTTTGATATCAGGATTGGTCATACCTATTGTTCCATAAGGGGGGTACCACCACTACTGCTAAACCGGATTCATTTATGCTGATTGGCCATATTGCTGCACCTTATAATGTGGATGCTTATTAGCCCTTTGGGGTCGCTGTATGACAGTGAGGGGGCAATCCAGCCGGTGACGGATTCCAATTTTTTTCACCTATGTCACCTGTATCACCGTGGAATTTTTTTCACTTTGAAGAGTGCACATGGGGACATTTGTAGCTCATTATTATTATATTA